TACTGTAAATGTTCACAGAAAGGTCTTTATGTGAACACGTGCTGGTCTGTATTCTTCTTTTCCTTCTCTTCTTTTTCACAGAGTTTTTTTTAAGCCTCCACTCTCCATACTCACTGAATTGCAGCAACAGAGCTCCAGTGGTAGCTTTGTGGAATTTATTGTTGATTTGTCACCTTTACAGATATTTTGAAGTTCATGATATCCCCAGTTATTTAGTAGTGCTGCAGGCCTGATTTTATTATGGTTTTCTTTGTGTTCTTTGCTGAATTTTTGATTTGGGGGGTAACTTGGAAAGATTCATATTCTAGTAGTTGGTATTATCCTCCAGACCTCGAAGGTCCCTGCTGCAGCATTTTTTGAACTTTACTAAGACCACTATCTACTGATCTTTACCATGTTCTTACCCATTTTACCTATTTTGACTTCCATCTATATCTTTTTCCATGATCTGTCACCATGGTCATTTCTTACAGGTTCTCTAACTTCCATGCTCTTCTCTCTTCCTTCCTCTTATTTATCTGGAAAAACCCTAATATGAATGAATGCCACAGCCTCTCCTGTGTTCAATCTGCACCTGAATATTACTGAAGAAAATCACACAGGGCAATTTCACTTTATTTACTTATTTATTTTTTTTTCAGACAGAGTCTCACTCTGTTGCCCAGGCTAGAGTGCTGTAGTGTCAGCCTAGTTCACAGCAACCTCAAACTCCTGGGATCAAGCAATCCTACTGTCTCAGCCTCCTGAGTAGCTGGGCCTATAGACATGTGCCACCATGCCCAGTTTATTTTATACATATATATTTTTTAGTTGTCCAGCTAATTTCTATTATTATTATTATTATTATTTATTTTTTTTTTTAGTAGAGACGGGGTCTCTAGTAGAGATGGGGCCTGAGCTCTTGCTCAGGCTGGTCTTGAACTCCTGAGCTCAAAAGATCCACCCACCTCAGCCCCCCAGAGTGCTAGAATTACAGGCATGAGCCACCATGCCCGGCCTGATTTCACTTTAAATTTGTCATCACAGACCTCACGTGGGCACTTTTATCTGCACTGGAGTTTTACAGTGATTCTCTAATATACTACAAAGTTCTCTGTCACCCAAGACTAGAAACTGGTTATGTCTCCTAAATCTAAATCTGTAAACTTGTATTTGCAGCCATCATTTTGTTCTTATGTTATAGTTAAGGAGGCACCCCTTCTCTTGTTGAAAGTGAATTCTTTCATCTGAGCTGTGGATTCCATCTGTTTACCCTATTCAAGGACTTTGCTCCTTCGTTTATTCCTTCTTTCTCCTCTTTCATCAGCTTTTCCCTTTCCCCTGGATGGTCTCACCACCAACATAATAAACATGTTCTAGTATTTCCCATCCTAAAAAACATGCCTCCCCAGACCTTATCTCTGCCAACCTACACTCCACCCCTATTTATCATTAATATTTCTGTGCTTTCCTTTGAATGCAGACTTCTCCCAAAAAAAAAAAAAAATGGAGTGGGGGGTGTGTTTGTGTGTGTACGCTAGCTCTGTTCACTAAGAAGGCCTAGAAGCAATGTCATTCCAGTAGTAATGACCATACTTAGCACCTTTATCTTGGTTTCTAAATACTATTCTTCAATCAGCACTGTCTAGTAGATCTTTCTGTGATAAGAAACTGTTTTACATCTTCACTGTCCAAAACAGTAGCCATAAGCCATGTGTGGCTATTGAAAACTTGAATTATGGCCAGTATGACTGAAGAACTAAATTTTTTATTTTGTGTAAAATTAATTACAATTTTAAAATACTGTGGCTAATGGCTACAGTATTAGTGCAGCTTCAATAAAAGAACCTGGACTCCTTTTTAGCAGTGTCTGATTTCAGGGCTTGGGCAAGGAAAATATGAGATGAACCTGGGGCATCTTGTGGAGCCAAAGAGTAAGGAAGTGCTTTAAAAAATGGGGATATGTAAAAAAGTCAGAGGATAGAACTCCGGGCCTCCACGCTACCCCTGCAGATACTGTAACCCAAGCTGCAAGGGCCCCACCACCACCACCATCACAGCAGACCTCCAGACTGATCAGGGAGCTGCTCAGAGACCAGCATTGCACCAGAAAGCAGGCACAGCAGGGTCCCACTGGCTTCCAATTCCAGATCACTTCAATTGAAGCCATTCTAAGCTCTCAGCTCCAGAGTTCCCGGTCTACACAGGGGTCAGCTCCTCTGTAGTTGCTTCACCATTATTCCTACTAGGCTGGAAAGGGAGCAGGCAGGGCAGGCACTCTCACATGTTTTGAGATGTGTGCCCTCATGTGTGCATGTGTGCACACAAATGCTGTGTGCCCTCCCCACTCCTGGTAGTGGGGAGTCCGAGCAGAGCAGGTCCCCATGGCCTCTAGTAGCTGCCACTACCAGTCCTGGGCAAAGAAAAGGCTCCAGCTGCCAAAATTCTCCTGCACTGTGCTGTGTGCCTCCATGATCCCACCAGCTGTGAGCCACCCAGCCACTATGGCCCTGCCCTGCACAAGTGGCTGTGACTCTGCATGAATATCCTCTGGCACCTGTTTGGACTGTGACAACCACAGGGGAACAGGACAACATAGGAGAAAAGCTGTGTTACAGGCTCTCAGTGCATCTGCCCTTCTCATGCCAGGTCAGTCTTCCAGAGTAGGACACACATGCACCTTCCAGGGACTTCTTCTTTCACTAAGTAAGAGAGTTCCAGCAAAGGAGAAGAAGTGTACTGCAAACCTGTTTTGAGCCAAGAGAAGAGGTTTTAGATGAGAAAGAACCAGGATAAGAATTCTGGCAATGCACACAGCTGTTTCTGCACCCTCAAAGAATCACATTAGGTCTCTAGCAATGATTACCAACCTAAAGGAAATTGTTGAAATATCAGATGGCAAATAAGTTGAATGAGATTGATAAAGAAATTGAAAAACAACACAAAGAAACCAAAAAATTAATTCAGGACATGAATGAAAAATTCTCTAAAGAGATAAATAATGCAAGAAAAGATAGAACTTAAATAAGAGCTTAAATAATTCACTTAGGGAATTTCATAATATAGCAGAAAGCCTTAACAACAGACTAGACCAAGCAGAAGAAAGAATTTCAGAGCTTGAAGACAAGGCTTTCATATTAACCCAGTCAGTCAAAAATATAGAAAAGAGAATGAAGAAGAATAAACAATCACTGAGAGAAATATGAGACTAAGTAAAACAAGCTAATAGAATTATTGGTATCCCTGAGGGAGAAGAAAAAGCAAAATGCGTGAAAAACCAACTTAAGTATGGCAGAATACCCAATTTTTAACCATCTTATGCTTAAAAATTAAAGATAATTTCTGATGATTTTTATACACTTATTCTTTTGGTTTATGAGCTTTGTTTTGTTTTATGAGTTTTGTTGTGGTTGTGGGGTATTTTTGTAAGCTTTTTAATACTGTATTGCATTTTTCTCATAACTCATAAAATTATAGTAAATTAGATTTCTGTCATTAAAATTTCTCATAATTAGTATGTATGAGATAAATTTGGTGTTGCAAGGAGAGTAATAACAATATTTTAGGCACAATGGGAATGTAGAAGGGCACTAGACTTTAGCAACATAGTTAAGAAAGTAGAAGTTGCTTCACGGCCTGCTTCTTGCAAGTTGCCTTACCTCTTTGAGCCTTACGTTGTTACTTTTTCACTTAACCTCCTTGAGCCTTACTTTCTTCTTTAAAATGGCATGATAATATCTTCTCAAAGGTAGTTATGAGAATTAGGTACATTCTGTGAAAGTGCGTAGTACATTGCAAATGCTATATAAAAATCCGGTGTCATTTTGAGGTTTAGCTGAGAAATGTAACTTTCAAATAGTGTATGTGGTGGGAAAATTTGACTGTACCTGAGCTTAATATTAAAAACCAGAATTATTTTCTTGGCCTGTGCTTTCTTTGGTTAGTTTAACATTTTTTTAATTTGAATTTTGATGCTCAGTTTAATAGAAATGAGTCATACTATCATTTCTCTCTTTACTCGGAAGTACACCATTTGTACTTCAGCCATATGTGTGATCTGTGGGTTATGGAGAGAAATTAGGCATTAGGAAATGCAGACCCTTAGATATTAAAATTCAGTAATATTCAGTAATTCAGTAATGAGAAAATTTGAAGAACAGAAAACAGTAAGTCAGATTCTGTGTTCTCTGTAAATACCAATAGTTAAATAATCTGTGGAGTGGATTAGATGACCTTGGTTTTTATAGTCTAAAACATTTACTTCAGACTGTGCAGGATCTGTTACTAATAATTATGTGAGTCTTGCCCTATATTTATGAATCAGATTTTTAAGTGGAAACCACAGTTGTTTCCTTGTTTGTCATTCATGCTTTAGCAGAGGATATGACGCCATAGAGCTCGTTTGATTTGTAGTTTCTCCTTTAAGGTTTGCACCACTCTCTTTTCCTCTGTAGAAGCCACAGCAGTTTTGATGTATTATTAAACCACAAAATGTACCTTGTTAGGTATTTAGCTGGAGGAAATGTGTTAAATATTACAGGTTGAGTATCTCCTATCCGAAATGCGTGGGACCAGAAATGTTTAATATTTGTGATTATTTTGGAATTTGGAATATTTGCATTATATATTATTACTGCTTGAGCATCCCAAATCCCAAAACCCAAAATCCAAAATGCTTCAGTGACCTTTTCCTTTGAGCATCCTGTCAGCACTCAAAAAGCTTTGGATTTGGAGGATTTTGGATTTCAGATTTCAGATCTTCAGATTTGGTATACTCAACCTGTATTTGCTAGTCTCAGGACTGCTTGTGATATTCCTATTTAGTCCTATTTTGAAGACATAGCATAAATAAATAAATGCATATATACCTATATTTTGGGTAGGTGATATATAACCAAACAACTGCAGACATGCAGAAAACAATTTTGAACCTTTTAAATATATTAATTGATATTTAAAGATAATGTTTTATATTGTTTAATGTGACTCTAATATGTTAAACCTCTTTTGTTCTACTTCAGCATCAAGGCATGCCATGGGTTGCCTCTCATAAATGGACAAAGCTGTGACCCTTATGCAACAGTTTCTCTGGTGGGCCCTTCTAGGTAATGTTTATTAAATTATTGTTAGGTTTTTAAGTTTTAAAGTTTGATTTAAAATTTGAAATTTAAGGGTCTAAAAGCAAATGCTGAATAGTTATGATGCAAAGTAATGAATGCTTTGAAAGAAAAATCTTTATGAGTTCTGTCATATGCTTGTAAACAACCAAGTCCTCTTTTTACAGAAAGAAAATGGGTGCCATTTCAAATCTACCAGACTCTTAATCTGTGGGGAACAACCTCAGTTTTATACTGTTAATGTAGTACTTTAAAACATAAACTTCTTCGTTTATCAGTATTCCTACTTTTACATGTCCAAATTTTATGCAGGTAAAATCCTGTTTTAATAAATACCTTCTCAGAAAAACAAGGTAATTTTCATATTTTTATCTGGAAAGCAGCTCAGGAATGAAAATTGCCTTTCTACTCATGAGATCTATCCTCTACAAAGAGAATTCCAAGCTATAAACAAACTGCTGAAGTACTAGAGCATGGGGAAGTGTTGCCATATTATTGATTTAATGATTTCATAATTTATGAAAAAACCTATAGCACTTACAATACTTTGTATAATATAACTTCATTGTGGTTTCTTTAAGGAATTGATTAGTCTGAACTGTGTCTACAAATTGAATGTTTAAAATCAGGACGCAAAAAGCACAATATTCCCTCAACACACACGTGCACACATGCACACACAGACATATATAACACACAGACACACACCCCTTCTCAACCCCAAAATCTCGAGTTATTCTTATTTTTTAGAAAATTACTAATATATCACTTTGAAAAATGTATTTATGTATGTGCCTACTACCATGCCAAGTACTTACTGGGTGCTCAAATAATGATATGCTATTATTATTACAGATGGTTTTAAATTTAAAAGCAGATACTCAATCTTATAACATTAAATGTTATCAGAGGGATTTATTTTTGCATGTTAAAATGTTCAACCTAGTATAGCTATTTTTTTAAATCTGTACCTGACATATTCTTTAGTGTAATTGTTCAGTAACATACAGTTAGAAACTATTTGGCATATGAATTTGTGTTTTATGCCACTTATTTCTTGTCTTAAGGGGAAAAAAGTCACTGTTGGTTTTGCTATTGTACCATGTTATTGTTGGGGGAGACTGAGTAAAGCCATGGTATTTCCCTATACATTTCTTTGTAATCTCTCTTACTCTATAATTATTTCAAAAAAAACGGTTTTTCTTTTTTTAAAAAAAAGTCATTATCTTAGCTGAAGCCCAAGAAATAAACTAAGTTAAGAATATATTTTATGTTCCTTGGATATTTTTCAACATAGATAAATTTCATTGTCTCCCTTCTCAATATATATTCTGAGTTGCTTATATAAATATAATTTGTTTTAAAAACCCCTCAAAAGCTTGGCAGTCTAGTACAGCCATAGAAAGAATAATATAACCTTGGTATATATAGGATATACCAAGCTTGAATATTCTTTGATTTGAGTTTGTAGGAACACATTAATTTTTCCCCTAAGTAATATTTAAAACTGTGGTCTTCCCTGAATCACCTTAACTTTTAAACAGAGGTCAGGCTCCCTGGTTGGACATAGCATGTTTTATAATTGTGTACTGTTAAGTTCTACAAGGTAAAACTCTACCACATTGGAACAGGAATGACCAAAAGAAGACAAAAGTAAAGAAGAAAACAAGCAATCCGCAGTTTAATGAAATCTTTTATTTTGAGGTAATTTTTTGTTTTATGTAAATGTTAACATTAAATATTTAATATTGAATGCTAGTTGATTTCTTTTTTCAAACCATAGCCATAGAAATCATTTTATCAACTAATGTAACTAAGCATTTCTCTCCTGAAAATGGTGTAATGCCATGGAGGCCCAGCATTTAAAAACGAATAAAAGCAGAACTCTGACTTGGGAGTGGCAAAGGCTAAGGCACTCCCACTCACCAGTCATCCTATCACACCCTCTTCCACAACCTCCCCCACCCTGTCCAGCCCTCAAACTGAGAGGCAGGATTCCCACAGCATACCATTTGCAAACCACTAGTAATGTAAGTATGACTGTCATTCAGTAGATCTGAGCTCCAGTCCTAGTGGACTTTGAGAGTCATTTAATGAGACTCAGGTTTCTTATTTTGTGAAAGGTTAGTACTATTAATATAAAGGAAAACAGCAGCCCTGCCTGACTCCGAGAGTTTTTCTAATGCCCAAAGCATGTGAGAATCCTTTGAGACTGTAAAATATTATATGGTTAGAGCCTTATTAAAGTTTTTTTTTAGACTAATTCACTCTGTGGACACATGCTTATTTCCATAGAGATCTTTAGCTGCCTTGAAGTTGTCTCAAATACAGTTCTTTGGAGTTCTTTACTTCTGGAGCCTTTGTTAAAGAAATCCCTTTTCAAACAGCCCAGGCAACATAGACCCTATCTCTACAAAAAATTTTAAAAATTAGCCAGGCATTGTGGTACACAGCTGTAGTCCTAGCTGCCCAGGAGGCTGAGGCAGAAGGATGGCTTGAACCCAGGAGTTTGAGATTGTAGTGAGCTGTGACTGAACACCAGCCCAGGTGACAAAGTTAGACCCTATCTTAAAAAAGAAAGAAAGAAAGAAAAGAAAACCTTCTTCATATTATTTGAAAACTACAGAAAAAAATAAAAATCAAACTCTCCTAAAATATTATGTTCTAATAGTGGAACAGTTGCAGTTGATATTGTAATAACATGTAGGGAAGGTTTGAAAAAAGGAGTTACATTTTACACTTTTTCTTCTATGTGTGTGTTTTTCTTGGTATTTCAAAGTGGAGAAAGTGAAGTTACCTCTAGTGATGCCCGATAACTGTACTTTAATAAAGCAACACAGGCTAAAGAAAATGCCAAAAGTGAAGTATGTGAACTGTGGGGATGGAAGCAAGGGAGAAAAAAATAAAAGAAAATATACTAATGTGAGACTTTACATTTCCTGGCTAAGGACCTGGTGCAGATGTATTATTACATCTAACCCGGGGATAACAAAAAAGACAGCAACTTAAAGGGCTATTCACACTCTCCATTAGTCCACACACCTTAAATGTCAAATAGTATGGAATCGACCATGCTTCATGGTAGATTCTGCCCCAGCTGAAGTGGTCAGGAACATCTTGAAGAAAGAATGAATTTTGGTAAGTAAAAAGGAAATGTAATAGAGACAAGGAACATTGAGCAGAGGCACAGAAACAGAAAAGCAGAATTACATCCAATGGACAAGTAATGATTTAACTGTGTTTATGTAAGGAAATAATGGGAACTATTATCAGAAAGATAAAATAGGACTGGCTGATGAAAGTCCTTGAGTGCCTGCCGGGTGATTAAATGAATTGAATATTTTTGAGCTTGGAAGTTATAATGGCAAAGCAGTGTTTTAGAAAGAATTAACTATGATCTGTGACCAGGTGGCTTAGGAAGAGAGAATAAAGATCAGTAGACTGTTGTAGTTTTTGTGTAAAAAAAAAAAAAAGGAGGAGGGGCATCTGTTTCAAGAGAGTAATACAGAAAGGGCAGATGAGAAAGATACTCCAAAAGGCAAGATAACAAATTGGTTATAGAAGCAGAGAGAAAGGAAGGAGTTGAATGTTGTCCACATGGTTTCAAATCTGGAAAAATAGAAAAGTTAGGAGAAAGAAACATTTAAGTGTCTTAATTTTGTAGCATAATGCTTGGTCTAACATATAAAATCCTCCATTAGGCAATTCATAACTAAAATTTAAGATGGGTGATAGCTGTTGTAGATTAAGACTCAAGATCTGTTTACGGAGAGTCAAAAAAGCCAAGGGAGTGGAGGCATACAATAAAAGAGAAAAGTGAAGAATCTCAGTTCTGCCACTTACTAAGTATTCAACTTTGAGTGTGTCACTTAATTTCTATAATTTAGCTTCCTCATTTTCAAGATGAGGATAATAAATCTAACCCTTCCCCCCTCAGAACAGTGTTCTGATAAAGGAGATAATGGATGTGAAAGCACTTTGTAAACCATATAGCATTGTGCAGCTCCAAGTTGTTTTTAGAGCAAAATGAGACATAAAACCTTGGAGAATACCCATATTTATAAATTCTGAGGAAGAAACAAAGCAGCAGAAGGTTGTCAGGATAGTGCCTAGGCAAACTGAAAGAAAAAGTGTTTTTGGGAAAGGAGGTGTAGTTTTGTGATCACTGCATCAGATAGGGAGGTCAAGGAAGGTGAGAACTGTTAATTGATCATCAGATTTGACAATGAAGAAAGATTTTAGGAGGGTGATCTCTGAGGATGTCAGATTATAAGGAGTTACTGTAGTGAGTAGGTAGTGAGGAAGTACAGGCTTTAAGAATGGATTGCAGTTTTAAAATATTTGTCTAAGAAAGGAAAGAGATAGACCATAACATAAGGGGAGAATTTTTCTTAGACTTGAGTGAAGTGAACAAGCTGGTAAAGAAAGCTATAATTTAAAATAAATTGAATAATGCTTTCTGCATGCTTATTGCATACTTTGGGTGGGATAGCCTTAGAAAAGAGGAGAATGGTCTGATCCTGTAGTTGAGAAAAGGATGAGAAAACTCATCAAGGTGGATAGTCACTGAGGAAGTTCCTGCCAATGGCCTTGATATTTTTAGCAAAGATGTGAAAGGGAAGTACAGGTAGGATTGGTATCTTGAGAAATGTGGGGAAGTCTTTAAACAGTACTAAGCAAATGCAGCTTCTTTGAAATAGGATGTTTTCACCCTTTGAGTCACCAGCTGACTGACTACCTATCAGCCAGAGAACCTAATGTTGCTATATATTAGGTTGACAGGAATGGTATGGAGGCAAAGATTCTTTTGATTTTTTTTATACCCTTATTCTTACCTGTCAGCTACTTCCACAGTTGTTTTATATTCAAGTTTTGGGTAAAACTTAGGCATTTTCCTATGTTTATATCTACGATTGAATATTTTGAGGATGATCATTTTTAAATTCTAGTAAAAGAAGGCTACTTAAAAAAAATTTTTTTACTAAAATATTTCGTTTACAGGTAACCAGATCCAGTAGTTACACCAGAAAGTCCCAGTTCCAGGTAGAAGAGGAGGACATTGAAAAGCTGGAAATTAGGTATGTGCCTTAAAGTTTTACAGAACTGATTTCTGTATATGCCAAAAGAAAATCCTAAATTTAACTGAAAAAGGTGGGTGAACCAACTGTACTAGAATTCTCTATAGCAAGTTGGTTGATGAAACTTAGAGGAACATGCATCTAATTTAAATCAAAATTGTCTTTTCAAAATCTGATTTCTTTGTGGAAATAGTCCAGATATACTTATTTTATAAACAGAGATGACCTAATTTTTACCTATATGTTGTATTAATTTTTAATTTTTCCCAAATTTAATTGTTCATTAAATTTCTGGATCATAGCATAATGAATGGAAAAGAAATTATATCTCAGCCAATTTAGAAATAATTTTTTTATTCTTCTTAACATATCTGCTGTCTAACAGAAATGTCAGTGAGGTAAGAAGATAATTCAACAGGTGCATGTGTTTGAAGTTTGTGCTATTTCCTAGGTCTTAAATATCTATTCTGTTTGGGAAGAGAAAATGTTATAAATGCATGTGTAGGTGTGATGTTAACAGTGTGTTCATCTAAATGGTATATTAATCATGTGTTTGGAGTGATCAGGTAATGTATTTTTTTAAATCACCTATCTTTACATGTTAATTGGTTGTAATCGAGAGAGAAACTGTAGTCTTGTGTTGGTTTATTTTCTCAAATTCAACAAAGTAACCTAGCCCTTATTGCTATAAGCTAAAAAAAGCCTAGACTTTCAAACTAGGAAATTTAAGTACCTTCTTTTACACTATTTAAAATGACTTTCTGTCCTTTGCAATAAAAGCTACTGTAGTAGTTTGCTTTCCTTGTCTGGATAGCGAAGTATATGTCATTGCTAACATCTCTTTCTTTTAAGCATGTAAAATAAATGCTATAATGCAAATCAAAGTAATTTGAAACCGGTGATGTGTTCTCTTAAATATTGTTTGCAAAAAGTAAAGCCAGTTTTCAATTTTCAGGATTGACTTGTGGAACAATGGAAACCTGGTCCAAGATGTTTTCCTAGGTGAGATTAAGGTTCCTGTGAATGTGTTAAGAAATGATTCCTCTCATCAAGCCTGGTAAGAAGACAAGCATTCTAGTGAATTCCATAGTTTAATCCTCTTTAATCCAGTGTATATGCAAATAAATTCTTACTATGAACATATTTTAAATTTGCCATGGAATAAGCCATATGTCATTATCATTGAAGTGATCATTAATTTATTGCAAAAATATAAGAACATCGATAGTTTTATGACTTGACCTGTGGTGCTGAGATATAAGAACTGAATTGTCAAGGAATATTTTTCTGTTCAAAAACAATCTTAATTCTAAGGAGAAATGGAAAACATTTAAAATATTATATAAGAGTTGCCCATGTAAGAAGATGCTTGGACACAATTCAACATGTGCAATTCAGAAGCTTTATTAGTAGTCATGGGAGCTGTAGATATTTGAAAACAAAGGTTTTTTTTATTTGGGGGACTCAGTTGTTTATGGGAACCAACCAGTGATATTCCTTCACCACACCCCATTGGAATGACCTGCGGATGATCCAGTGTTATTTTCTGAATGTCTGCAGGGGTCCTCAAACTTTTTAAACAGTGGGCCAGTTTACTGTCTCTCAGACTGTTGGAGGTCCTGATTATAGTTTTTAAAAAACTATGAACAAATTTGTATGCACACTGCACATATCTTATTTTGAAGTAAAAAAGCACCCTCATGTGGCCCAGAGGCCATAGTTTGAGGACACCGGGTCTAGGGTCTTGATGTTGTTGAGCTGATTCAGTTGATAACGCTTTTCAGGAGCTCTAGGGGTTCAATAATGGCTACAATATTATTTTCCCTTTTCATGATTCTAATAGTGATATTAAAATGATGTGAGATTAAACTTAGTGTTCAGACATTAAATTAATGTTGATTTTCCTACCAGAATTGATATGAAACTATTGGTTTTTTCTATCTTCATATCACTTAAAAAGATGTGTATCTGTCCTTTCAAGTAGATTGCCCAGGATCTTTTCAAGCTAGTCATGGGTTTCAACTGAGTATAAATGAACACATGCTTTTGTCATTTGCCTTTTAAGGACCACTTTTTAGAACTCAATTTCTGCTGCCTCGAAGAAGAGTGTGTAGATGTTTTTTGTAGGCATCAGTCTTGTTTGTCCTTAAAAGAGCCTGCCTCTCCTGATTGGCAATCAGATATCTTCATTTTATACTCTTTCATCCTTAAGCAGTTATCCCTTGTAGACTGATTTTTAGATACTCAAAATTTTTATTTTATTTTTACTACTCCCTAACACATATCTAAGATTTATTAGTCTTTATGATGGTATTTTGTATCTTATAATTTCTAAAATGCATCTGTGGAGTAGAAGAAAATTAAACTTCACTATGAAAAATTGATGAATATTTTGGCCTCATCACTTTCCCCCTAAACCATGTGTTCTATCCTCCATAAAACAGCATACATTTTAAAATGAAAATTTCTAAACTCAGTTTGTCAAGTTTTTAAAATTGTGTGCTATACTACTCAGTACAGAAGGGAAAAATGAATTATTGTGCCTTTCAGGGCTAATATTCAGTTGATAATGCTTTTCAGGAGCTCTGGGAGGAACTGTGGGTGTCTGTATTTAAGTAAGACTATCTCCAGACATGTTTTCCAAATTTGGCACAACTTTGTGCAGATACCTTGGCAGGATGTAAGAGCATTAACAAACAGAATGTTTCATTCAGAACAAATTAATATTCCTATAGGTTGGTGGGTTTTTTTTTTTTCTGTTGGCCTATTAGTACTCAGAGGTAGTGGGAGGGGGGAGGTAACCTGCCCAGAGTTAATGCCTAAATTTTACAGCAAGATATAACATCTGCTAATTCATTCTATACTTCACAGTAGGTGTAAGGATAATATAAATGTGAATGCCATTCCTTTTTAACATTAGAAGTAAACTCTTAGCCTCCTTCCTCAATTGTAGAGCTTAGACATCCCCTTGTGGGATGATGGTAACTGATGAAAACTCAAGAAAGATTATATTCCTTGGATTTCAGGCATATTCTTTCTTAATCTTGGTATTAGGAGAAGAATATTGGTTTGAAAATGTCATTGTGCTTTCCTTTTTGCATAAATTTGTGCCCATGAGTTTTGTGCGGGTATGATAGCTTCTAAAAAACTGAGTTTTGCGATGGTTGCACATTTAGATTGTACTGAGGGGGGGGAATAATTACTCTCAAATTATAGCATGGATTCAGTGCGCCTGTCCCATTCCAGTTCTTGCTATGCTACTTCCTTGTAGTGAGAATGGGTTGTTTCATTACTGTCTCTCCAGGATGTTAGGATTCCTTGTTAGGGTTGATAGTAGCGTAGTTTTTACTTGTAACCTATGGTAGCGATGAATTGAATTTATAAGATGACTCTTATGGTCAGAGCGGGTGCGCGAAAGGTAGAAGAATCTGGGTCCGTGCGCCTTGACCCGCTCTTCAGTTTCCCTCTTTCCTAAAGCAGGCCTCGCTGTGTGGATCGGGGTATTCTGAGGAGCCGGGGGAAATATTTTATATACATTCAGGAGCATTACATAGGTAGACTGTGTTCCCCCTTCTTACACAAATGACACATACTGTATCATGTTCTATACTTTGATTTTTTGGTCATTTACTATAGTAGAATTCATAAACATTTGTGGACTCTTGTAGTATTATATTTAATGGTATTGCTTTGGTTCAAATCCTCTCTCGTGCCAATGGTATACTATCTGTGTGACTGTTGGACATGTTAGCTCAATCGCTGTTGATTTTGCGTTTTTATTCTCTGAGTTCATCAGAGGTTACTTAGGTCACGAGGAGATCCTTCAGGTGGCTTATGTCGAAAGTTGAGCTTCGCTGACATATATCTTTAAGAGGAATATCACGGTTGTATATAGTGTATACAGAGTAACTATAATATATGCTACATTTAGAGGTAAAAGTGGTGATATCGTGCATATATAGATGTGTTATAGTATATAAATAGATTGTAATAATGTTTGCTGCTTGTGCCAGCTTACAATCTAAGTGCTTTACCTTTTAACCTCTTTAGGGTTGTTGTGGGATTAAATGAGTAGGATAGCCTTCAGTTAACAGATGAGAAAACAGCAGCACAGAGAAGAAAATGGAGCGACTTGCCCAACCTTCACACAGCTGGGATTTGAGCCGAAACTGGATGTAATTTGTACTTTGGGTTAGTTTGTTGAGGTATAGTGTGAAAATCAGGAAACAATCTCTGGTTTTGTAGGCTGTGTGCAAGGATTTGAGGGTTATCCCGTTGTTCTAAAGAATATTAGTTGAAAAGGACTGGGCATGGGCGACTCACCCTGCGTGAATCCACACGGTTTGGAGGCCTGGGGTGGGAGGAAGTGCTTGAGCCAGAGAGTTTGGGAGCGAGCCTGGGCGAACATAGGTGAGACAAAAAGAGATGAGCTCTACAAAAAGATCTCTCGGATGAGTCTCTACAGAAAGATATAAACAGAACTAGCTAGGCATGGTGTTGCATGCCTGTAGTCCGCAGCTCTTCGAAGCTGAAGCAGGAAGATACCTTGAGTCAGGAATTCGAGGCTGCGTGGCTATGATCATACCACGGCACTCGCAGCCTGGGCGTATGTAGAGCAAGACTCGTGTCCTCTATTTGGGAGAAAAAGCAACAACAAAAGTACAGGGATCAGGAGGAAGACTATGTAAATGATGACAATTGTTGCAGCCAAGTGACGGACGTACATGGAGATTGGTGGTAGGGAGTCATTCGATTGGGCTTAGTCGTCAGTCTTCTTCTCGTTTACTGTTGGAAAGAGCAATCTGTCCATGGAGAAGAAGATGCATTGAGTGGTCAAAGAAAATGTTGATGGTACCTTTGCCAGCTTAACTATTTGTAGTTTGGCGCGGACGTAAGTTGAGCTATTGTAGCCTGCTGCTGCTCTAAGTGTATCAGGGATTGCTGGTGCGTCAGGCGACCGCACCTCTACGTGGCCTTTTAGAATGTGCCTGATTAAAAACGTCCGGTCGCTGCAAATTTGCAGAGCTGCAGGAGACAGAGCGCCCTGGGATGTACGGCCGAATTGACCAGAAGTACAGTGCGCTGTCGAAGGAGAGTTGGTGATCAGCAAGACGGGGAAAGCTCCCCGGTAGAGGGTGAACTCGCTGATCAACCAGGCGTATTTTCTGGTCATCGCACTGTGGCCATACTCTGGTAAGCAGAGTCACTCTTTCTCAAATCAGGATAACTGACATTCTGAAGTTTGCCTTCTTAAGACAGGAGTTCCTCTTTTGGGAGTGTGACATAATTTCCCATCGTAATTTTTTCTTCTCTATTATCCATCTCTTCAGTCCTTTTTACATTTGCTTGATTAATTCTCTGGTTCTCTTTTCTGTCTTGATGCTTTTCTTTCTCAAGCTATAATATTCTATAATGTCTTCTTCATTTTTAAACATAATTTAGTGTATTAAAGGGGCCATTAAGTGATAAGAAGTTAGGGTATCAAAACTACTGTACTTTCCTTTATAAAAGCATTTCGCTAATAAGTGAAGTGAAGAATGAAAGATTATAAAATTATCATTTGTGATGATTAAGGCTCCGCGTAGGCAGTGATCCTCAGTGGCTACATAATATTGCAAAGAGAAACAGACTTTTTTGCCTCTGGGTGGAACGTATACAACACTATCAATGAAGTGTCTTGCCAGAACGATCGAAATCCTGAATCGTAACCAAGCTCCAGATCAAACTACACTATATAGATATACAAGAGAAGCACAAAGGAATTATGGAATGACATTCTGAACGGTAGATAGCAACAGAGTTAACACAGTCCTCAAATGTGGAGCTCAGGCCGGAACTACGCTGAGGTTGCTTGGGAGTGTTGGGATAATCTATAAAGATTAACGAGAGCTTAAGAAAGCTGTTAACCAGATTATAGGTCTATGGACGCTGGTATTTAGATTTGGGAGGCACAGTGTGAAAACAGTTTATAATGTTGGGGAGATTTGAATACTGAATAATAATGAGTTGGTGTTTAAGGATGATATTGAGCGATTTTAATGGATACGTGAAATTGCTTGTAAAATAATGCAGGAGAGTGGGGTGGTGGATAGGAGACATGTTGAAGATATGCGTAAAGTAATGATTAGTCTTGAGTTCGGATGTTGTTAGAGCTAGGTAAGCATGGGTATGTGGCGCCTACGTTATTCTCTTTACTGTTACATGGGGTGTTTAAGTGCTCCCCGCCTGATAGAACGTCATGATTTGAAGAAGAACTGTTCAGGTTGGCTGTTGTTCGCGGTAATACAAGACTTACAGTCAGACTGGTTGAGTGCTCTAAAAGCGTGTACTTGGAGAAACAAGGCACGTATGCCTTCCTAGTAGTCTGTAGTCTATTTCGACGTAAATGTTTGTGTTCTTAAATTTAGTTGGGTAAAGATTATTTGTTGGTAGAACAGCAGGATTGTAAGAGTGTTTCGACCTTTCTGTGAGTTGGTTCTTGTCTGAACTTGCACGCTTTATGGGCCATACTTTTATACAACCTTGAGACTCTTAATTCTTTGTGTGTTATCTATATTTTTTGTTTCTTGAATAAAAAAGGTCTATTCAGCGTTCGGTAGGTCCGAAGGTTATGTAGAGGATATTAGGATAATTTCTGACAAAGATGAGGAAGCTGGTTACTTGCATGAACAGAGGTGCAGCGCGTACTGTAAATACGGAGAGGTGTGACATTTCCTGGTTCGTAGTTTGTGTGTTAGGATGTACTTGTGGGTGCTACGTTACCGTCACCTGGCTTGGGAGGGCCTGCGGAGGTGGCTGGACATTTCAGGGAAGGTGGTGGCAGCTCGGGGATATTTGTTACTGTGTAGGTACGTTGGTGACGCCCGAGACAGATGGCAACAGGTCCATCTAGAAACACTGATCGACCGTGGGGGGTCTCTCGATTTAAATATGAGTGTTATTAGAGGAGAAGACTACGGCTTCAGCAGAGTACCACAGGGGAAGAATTATGGTCTTTGAAGACGTCTGCTGCTGAACAAGTCACCGAGATGTTCAGATACTTGACATCTTAAGGATATGATTTTAATATAAAAAGGCTAAAATAATTCTGCAAATGATGAGGAAAGATTTAGAGTATCAAGTCTTATTAATACAGTAAATATGTGTGTTTGTGGGTGTATTTTTACTGGATTGTCAATGTGTGCTCCAATATTAGCTCTGATAAAATGTTAAAAATTAAATATTTTATGTATAATAGTTTTATTCATGAACTATTCTATATACAGGTTAGTGATTGAACATTTATCATGTTTCCTTGATTTTGTGCTTGTTTTCACCTTGTCTATATTCTAGCCAATATCTGCCTCAGCTGCTTAATTTGGGTGAAATATGTCGAGATAAAAATGATGCTTTTGCTCTTGTACGATTGCTGCTGCACCATGATAAACTTGTCTTTTGGCCACTGCTGTGGCAGAATTAGACTTGAGGGATACACAGTGAAGAGTGTATATCTTATTAAGTATTAATTTCATGTTACCTTAGTTTGACAGATTGTTTTTATAGTCTGAGTTTCTGTATGACTGTCTTACTATAGTAGCTGAGAACAAAAGGCAAGTAACAAAGGCAGTTCCTTTAAGTTATCAAGTATTCACCAACCATAAGGGATAACAATTAACAAAGGATTTTTTTACACAGTAATGAAATTTCTTTTGTTCAAATCTGGCTTCTTAGTGTAATGATTTCATGTATCATAAAAACACCATAGCAGAAGTTTTTTGTTTTTTTTAACAGAGACTCACTCTGTTGCCTGGGCTAGAGTGCTGTGGCGTCAGCCTGCTCACAGCAACTCAAACTCTGGGCTCAAGCAGTCCTTCTGCCTCAGCCTCTGAGTAGCTGGGTCTATAGGCATGTGCCACATGCCTGGCTAATTTTCTATATATATTTTTAGTTGGCCATTAATTTCTTCTATTTATAGTAGAGACGGGGTCTCGCTCTTGCTCAGGCTGGTTTCAAACTCCTGACCTCGAGCGATCCGCCTGCCTTGGCCTCCTAGAGTGCTAGGATTACAGGCATGAACTACCATGCCCTGCCCAGAAGTTTTTTTTTTCTATCGATTATGTATCACTCTTATGCACATGTATGGCATTCTAAAAAGCAATCAAGTAATTTCCTATTCCCATTATATTCTAATACTTGTTTTATATGTACACATATATGTATACATATACTCCACCTTTTTGGTTCATAAATGTGATTTTCTTTTTTCTTAAACTGATTTTCACATACTTTTGGTAAGTTTGAAAAACCTAATGGCAGCAAGCTTTTAAATAGATGGTAAAAATTACCAAAATTGTATATATAACCAAAGTCAGATATCTCATCAGTTTCACAGCCTTTGTTTACTACACTTGGTTTCATCTATTTCTATTTCTATTTCAGAGATGCAAACACAATTTTTAGAGGAAATTCCTTGGCTACTCGATGTCTGGATGAGATGATGAAAATAGTGGGAGGGCACTACCTGAAAGTAACATTAAAACCCATTCTGGATGAGGTACACCATATACCTCCAGTAATAATAGTTCATGGCTTTACTGTAGTGTCCCTTGCATCAGATGATCTACTATTGGGAATGGTATATCCATTCATGTATTACTGAAAAAAATAAGGCTGAACACTTTAGAAATAAATTATTTACTTTTATATTGATGAATTTTTACTGAAAGAGCACATTGTAGGGTAATGTATGTAATTATTTCTTTGTTATGGATTTCTATTTTAGCTAGAGTTTTGACTATAAATACTTTTTGGTATAGTTTTTAAAGAAAGTTGTATATATTATATATGATATCTCTGGATGAGGATTTTAATCTTTGTTACAGTTTTAATTTTTATAATTAACTTACTATCAGAAAAATATAATAGTTATTTTCATTTTGTCAAATTATTTATAAAAGAGTATTAACTGAAAAAATTATTTTCTAGATATGTGAATCTTCAAAATCCTGTGAAATCGATCCTATTAAATTGAAAGAAGGAGATAATGTTGAAAATAATAAGGTAAGTTCTTATTATATTTATAACTCCATTAAAATTGGTCTTAATTTTGTACCTGTCTCCCATTTACGTTGTAATAATGCTATCTGGAGGGAAGTAGTGCTGTTTGTTTATTCTTTACATAAACCTTTATTATTAACATCATTTCCTGGGACTAGTTTTAAAATGTTATTTCCTCAATGGTTTCACTTTATTTTTGTTCTTGATTATCTCTGTCTCTAGTGACAATAGTGGATTTAGGCTGTATCTAGTTGTAGCCCCCATTCTGGCTATTCCTTTGGGGTCAAACAGATCAGGCTAAGTGGCACAAAGTCTTGGTCAATCAATACTTTTAGTTGCCTTTGGGAAAACAGTGATTGTGTTAGGGTCACAAGTTTTCATTGCAGTGGATTACAGTGTCCTAGTGTCCTTGTGCTTGTATATTCAAGTTATTTCCTTGGTTTCCCTTTGGATCATTTTACTCCCTGTTGCTTCTTGTGAGGTTTATTCATATATTCTTATGTCTAGCAATTCTAAATCTAACTTACTAAATTAGGGCAGTATGTAAATTATCCTTTAACTCTGCAGTCCCCAACCCCCAGGCCACAGACTGGCAGTAGCCTTGGTCTGTTAGGAACCAGGCCTCCCAGCAGGAGGTGAGCAAAGTGATCTATCAAAGCTTCATCTGTATTTACAGCCACTCCCCATCCCTCCTATCACCTCATAAGCTCTGATTCCTGTGAGATCAGCAGCGGCATGAGATTCTCATAGGAGCGTGGACCCTACTGTAAAGTGCGCATGTGAGAGATCTAGGTGTGTGCTCCTAATGAGAATCTAATGCCTCGTAATCTGAGATGGAGCTGAGGCGGTAATACAGATTATGAGCAGAGCAACTGCAAATACAGTTAATAATTTAGCAACTGCTAAATTATTAGCAGAGAGTTTTGACTGCACAATAAATGTAATATGCTTAAATCATCCCCAAACCATCACTACTCCACTACCCCCACCATCACCACCACCCCCACCCACCCACCACCAGTCTGTGGAGAAATTGTTGCCCATGAAACCAGTCCCTGGTACCAAAAAGGTTAGGGACTGCTGCTTTAACTGAGTGAGTTTGGAGAAGGGAAGCAGGCCTTTAGAAAATACTAGATAGTGACTACCTAATAAATCTTATTTTCATTACATACTTCTTTCATAAAGGCTTTTGAAGATGTGTGAAAGTCAAAATCTTAATGTTTACCTTTTTAAATCCTGCAGGAGAATCTGCGCTACTATGTAGACAAGTTATTCAGTACAATTGTAAAATCAAGTATGAGCTGCCCCACTGTAATGTGTGATATCTTTTATTCTCTAAGGCAAATCGCTACTCAGAGATTTCCTAGTAAGTGCCTTGTTTTACTAAACAAGCCATTTCTGTTTCTAAATTTGATTTTTATAGGTATTAATTGTATATTTGGTTTGTGTGAAATGTTTGAGGTTTATAGATACAGTCTTTAGTTTTTCAAAATGAATCTAGCTTTTTCATATGAATCTGATTTTTCTTACAATCTCAAAACATATATTCTACTTTATTTCAGTATAATGGCAACTTTATACAAAGAGCAAATCAAAATCACCATTAGGTTTAAGAAAGGCAAAAATGTAGAACTATAACATTAAATAAGTGTAAACAATTATACCAGATGCTTCCAGTTGCATGCATTCAAATAACAGGAATCTTTAGTTTCATACAATTAACTAAATTTAACAGTTTGAAAATACTAAGGTTTTAGTGGAGAGATTTTTACAGAAATGATTTTAGACATTAGAAACATTTCTATTGCAACATACATAGAATTTTGAGGTACATATATCAGTAACTAGCCTACTTCAATTTTGAAAAAGTAGCTATGTCCAGGTTTTGCTTAGAAGCATTTCATAAAATTAAGAGTCACTATCAGTTACCATCAGTACTTGGAATTATTCTAATTTTAATGCATCTCTGATAAGTAAATAAACTTGCTATTGCTATCTTTCGAGATCTGCGTATAATGGGGGTGGGATTGGTAAGGTAAGTCAGCTACTTAAATTATCAGTCTTAACCAGATATACGAAACTGTAAATTTATTTTGTAACCATCTCAAAAGATTTTGCTATTTTATCACATTCTTATAAGTATGTGTTCACATGCGTGCACATGTGTACAGCTAACCGCTCTTTGCTAAATTTACCCAATATTAAAGTGGTGGGTCTGAGTTGTTTAACATATAGATAAATTAAGATCTAGATGTCTTTGCTAATTATAGTAAAGACTCAGTTAACTTCAAATAAGTGTACTAAATCTAGGCTTCATAACAAAAATAAGGGGAGCAAAGATAGTAACACATGGAAAGGTGAAGTACTGATTGAAATTATGTTTTTAAATAGGTCATGATAACCACATTGATTACTTAGTGAACAGGCACTGTGCTAAGCCTACATTATCTCCTATTTTCATCTTCACAACACCACATGAGGTAGTTATTGCTCCTATTAGATAGATAGATATTAAACTGAGATATAGAGAAGTTGAGTAACTTTATGAAGATGACATGGCCAGCAGGGTCTCAAACCTGCTCTTGGCCTACTCCAGAGCACATGCTACTAATCACTGTACTCTAACCAGTGATCTTGGCTTTAAATCTGCTTTAGCTGTTTAATTCTTGTTTATATAAATGACTGAAAATACAATGTATTTTTTTTATAAATGCAAATATATCTCCTTAACTATCTTTTTCTTGGCTTAAATATTAATGTATTCATATCCTCAGTAGACTACAGTGGTAACTGTTGCCATAAAATATATTCTCTGATTTGTTGTTCTTCCGGTCCTGGGGGTGATGGAGGTGGAGGGGGGTAAGGGATAGGCAGCTGGTGAAAAGCAAGTATTATTAAAAGAGCAACAAATTAAATGACTTGTTGATGGTAACCTATTGAAAGACTTAAAAGAGTTAAAACTCAAACCAAACCCAGAGATTCTTTCCCTCACCATCTGCTTCTCCACCATCTGATTATTGGTGAAGTATTGACTCCAGCCTGAAACAAAAGGTGTAGGTGAATGATCAAAGCCACAAGGAGTGTTCAGTTCATTTGCATTTTTATATGGAATATTGATAGCTTTTTTAAAGTAAAAATTTCTGCCTAATTATTTTTATTGCATAACCTTTGATATTATCAAGATTTTTAGGGGAAAATTGAAACTACCTAAAAGTGAAAGCAATCTTGTATCCTAGTCTTAAGAGATTCATTGGTACCACTAGGTAGTGCTAGATACCGCTTTTATTTTTGTTGTAATTTCAGGAGTCTCGCAAATGAGGAAAGAAGTATTTCTCAAATTAAGATATTTCTGAAAACCTAGCAGCTTTACCTTTTATTTTCTTTATTCTTTTGGATTCTTTGTTAGTCATAGGGTTTTTTCTTTTGATTTAGTCATAATCATTGCTATCATTTCATCAACTCAGTTCTTACTAGACAAATTGTATTGCTCTCCTATTTAGTTTGTTTTTTTATATATTTTTTACTTTTATCATCTTTGCTTTTCAATTCAGTGTTTTTGTGCATGACATTTCACCATTTTTTTCTGCAGATGACCCTCATGTTCAATATTCTGCAGTGAGCAGCTTTGTATTTCTTCGTTTCTTTGCTGTAGCCGTAGTATCACCTCATACTTTTCATTTGCGACCTCATCATCCAGTAAGTGTTTGTTCTTCTCAAAGCTTTATTCCATTTTTATTTATTTTTATTAAAATGAAAAGGTAAAATAGGCCAATTTCACTTGGCCATGTTTTCTTATAACTGATACTTAAATTTACTCAGCATTTCTCTTGGCCATTTCTGTCTTTCAGATGAGACTAAAAATTCTATTTTTCATTATTAAAAGATATTACACTAGTGATGTTAACTGTTGAAGGTTGGTGATGAGTACAAAGGAGAATTATTATACTTGTCCCTCTGCTGTTACATATATGTTTTTAAATTTCTAGAATACAAGGATTTTTTTCCATTTAGTTATTAAGTTTAGCTTTGTTTTTTTTTTAAAAAAAATAGAACCTGCTTTCCTAATTTATTAAAGTGGTTTAATCTTGCAGATATTTTTAAATTTCACAGAAATTTGAAGAGGAACTCTTTTGAAAAGTGTAGGAACTTTTATTGGAACATAATTTGTTTGATATCTCCATATTTTTACTGGTTATTCACATGAAGTGATATTGTAAACATATGAGATTTAAATTTTTTTAAAGCATATATAATCTGTTTATTCGGCAGTACTATTTGATTACTGAAATCTAAATCTCCATTGCATAGGTTTACATGTTTTCTTAATATTTAACCTTTTTCACTCGGATGTCGAGTGTGACTCAACACGGTTAGCAAAAATTATAGAGATTAAAATTACTCTTTGAATGTATCAATAATTTGAAATATAAAAAAATCCAAATAAATAAGTTTGTATGAAAAGAAACTCCAGTTTCTTATTCTACTGCCGTGCTTTGTAAAATCTGGGGTATTTAAAAAATTAAATCCCAAGTAGAATAAAGTAATCGAGAAAAAAGCAAGCGAGTGCAAAGGGTTAAAATTCTTTTATTATTTTTGCTATGTATATAATTAATGAGATTCCTTCTCATATAGTGTATTTTTGCTGATTCTTTAACCTTTTATGTTCCAAATATTTTATAATCCTATATAATTGTTTTTAGTTGCTGATTTGTATAACAGATAATAATAGCCAACATTTATCTAGTGCTTACTTCAGTATTAGGCTTTGTTCTAACTACTTTATGTGTTTTATTTAGTCCTCCTAGTAACCCTATGTGATAAATTCTGTCATTATCCCCATTTACAGATAAGAAAATCATAATACAGTAACTTCTCCAAACTCACACAATAAATAAATTATAATTTGATTTTACTTAATTTGAACTGGATTAAACTGGGATTCTAACTCAGTCAGTCTTCAGTCTGTGAGCTTAACCCTGCTCCTTCCCAACCTCTTACACAGGCAGATGTTCAAGTACCTATAATGTATCAAAACATAATGCTCAGCAGCAGAGATTCAGTAATGAGTAAGATACTCCCTAAGGAAACTTGCTGTCGACAGGAGTTGCCCATTGAATAATGTAGTGTAGGGAAGACATGTGGATTTTAAACTGGTTTCTGAATGCCAGCTCATCCTTCTGGATAGCTGCACAACACTGCCACTCATTTAACTTTGTGAGAACTGAGTAGAACCATGTTGCAGTGGCAGCAGCACACCCTTTCTTGCCAAAAGATAAATGCTCTGTGAGTAACTACAGCAGAGAGTGGGTCAGTGTCATTTTGTTCACAAGGCTGTCTTTTCTGTTGCTATGTTACTAAAGCTATACCAAACTCTGGAGCAGTGAAAGCTTGGTAACAGCATTCTTGACATAAACAGAACTCCTACCTCTGAACTTGTGACTTTGCTTTGTTTTCAGACTAGGATTTGCATATTCCTGTAACAGATGTTGAAATAAAATCCTTCTAGCCACAAACTGCATTTGAGGTCACTGTTTTCCATTCGGTATACCAAAAGGACTACTTCAAAACTGTCATATAATTTTGTTTGCTTTTATCTCTACTTTTATCCCTACTTTTTTAAGAACCTTTCAATCTAATTGAGGAAATAGGACAAACGCATAAGATGTACAATCTAAAAAATACTACATACATAAATCTAGAACTAATACCTGATTACACTGAAAAAAATAATTAAAGAACATAAAACTAGCACCTGATTAGTACCAAATATTAGCATTTTTCTTCGGCATTAATACCAAAGAAACTGAAAGCAGGGAATGACCCCAGTGACCTGGAGGTGATAACATTGTCAAGACTAGTATCGAAAGTTTCAGAGTGGTTGGGGAAGGTTGTTCGATTTTATATTTAGATGTTCTTTGAATTTTGAGAAACCAGTTTTAGTAGAGTAGAAGAAAAGAAAATCAGATTGCAGAAGATTAAGGAATAAGTAGTTAAAATGCAGTTTTACCTAGGAAATATATCAAAAGTGAGCTTGCCCTGCTGCAAAAAGACATCAGCAAATTCAAGCATGTACACATGTGCACACATACATATATGAATGAATATTTGAAAAAAACAAACAAACAGTAATTCCAGCTTGAGCAAGAGCGACACCCTGTCTCTACTAAGAAAACAGAAAGAAATAAGGTGGACAACTAAAAAAAAACATATATATATATATATATGAAAATTAGCTAGGTACGGTGGCACATGCCTATAGTCCCAGCTACCTTCTCATTCTGTCCCCCATTCTTTCACTGATAACTCCTTTTAAGACCCAGCCAACGCAGACTTCTCTAACCCATTAGTTTGGGTTACATGCCTTTCTTACACATGCCTATATCATCCTTTGGCTCTCCCTGTCATGGCATTTGTCATACTGTTTTACAATCATCTGTTTATAATCTTTGTGGATTATCGATACCTTAAGAGAAAGGCTGGATCTTTTTCAGGTTTTTGTATCTCAAGCACATGGCAGTTTCTGGGACCAGTAAATACTCAGTAACTGTTTTTTGGATTTGTTTTTTTTTGAGACAGAGTCTCACTCTGTTTCCCGGGCTAGAGTGCTATGGCGTCAGCCTAGCTCACAGCAACCTCAAACTCCTGGGCTCAAGCAATTCTTCTGCCTCAGCCTCCCAAGTAGCTTGGGACTATAACAGGCATCCGCCACCATGCCTGGCTAATTTTTTCTATATATATTTTTAGTTGGCCAAATTAATTTCTTTCTATTTATAGTAGAGATGGGGTCTTGCTCTTGCTCAGGCTGGTTTCAATTCCTGACCTTGAGTAATCTGCCTGCCTTGGCCTCCCAGAGTGCTAGGATTACAGGTGTGAGCCACCGCGCCCGACCCTCAGTAACTATTTGATGAATGAAAGATGGTAGCTCAGAAAGGGAGCTTGTCATATGATGAGTCTTTCCTAAATTCAGAAAACCTATGAATGGAGGGGAAGAGATCAGCAGAAAGGGAGAAATTAAAGAGAGGAGAGGGCTTATAAATGCCAGATTAATATCCTGAAGAATTCAGAAAGAATGTCCTTGCTTGGTTGGTTGGTTGGTTGGTTGGTTGGTTGGTTGGTTGGTTGGTTGGTTGGTTGTTTTTTAAGAGATAAGACCTCTCTCTGTTGCCCAGGCTGGAGTACAGTGGCGCAGTCATAGCTCACTGCAGCCTTAAACTCCTGGGCTCAAATAATCCTCCTGTCTTGGCCTCTTAAGTAGTTAAGACTATAGGCATGCAACACCACAGTGACTAATTTTTTTTGGTTGGGTGGCAGGTGCGGAGACAGGGTCTCACTATGTTGCCTAGGCTGGTCTCGAACTCCTGCCCTCTAGTGATCCTCCCACCTCACCCTCCTGAGTAGCTGGGATTATGGCTGGGATTATAGGTGAGCCACTGCACCCAGCAGAAAGAGTATCTTCAAGAGAAAAAGTAATGGAGTTAGCCTTGGAAAAAAGAATAGCTGTCCCTTTGAAATATTATGTTGAATCATATGGCCCAGATGAAATTAATTTATTTTAATCAAAAATAGCCAAGTAATAGCAATTTTATGTGCTGCGTAATGTAAGGAGAAAATAGGACATATGAATGTATACCAGGTTATTTTGAGGTGAGAAATTGAACATTTCTGTTGAATTTAATAAATATTATATAATATGTACTAAATACTGGTGCCAGAGTGCTAGATAACTAAGGTCCTGGTCATCCATGAAAGGCAAAGTCACCAATGAAAAATTACGTTGGCAGATAGTGGCAGGAGAAAATTTAGTACAGCTTGTATTTATATTACACCAGGAAATCAACAGTATCTGAATGATGTGATTGTCAGATAGTAGTCAGGGCCATGTAAACAAACCTCTGATATGCAGAAATTGTATAAAATATGCTTTGTTATTTTTTGCTTGAAGTAGTGACCTGAAACACTAAATTTGAAATAAAAATTGAAGAGGGAATTCTTGGTGAAATTCAGTTTAATTTGAATTTGAACTAGGACATCTTTAAAAATTCATTTTCTTCAAAGGCAGAGAATTGTAGGGATCTTTTATCGATATCATGAAATCCTGGAGGTTCTGGCTAAAATATTTTCTGAATAATTTTAATTTAGTTGTGTAACTGTTTCATAAGTATTATCATAATGATCATATCCCAGATATTCCCTGTTTTCCACATTGCCTTATATCCTGATCATCTCTTCCCCTTCATATTCATTGCCTGTTTTCAATGTGGGGATCAAAATACTAAGAAATGCCTACCAAAAACTAAACTAAAGCTTTTTGTATCTAAGTTTTTCTCGATATGTCTTTAGATAGAAGATTCTATTCACTTGACTCCCTAAAACAAAGAGGGCTCATGAGGGAACACTAGTCAATTTTATTTACATTTACTTCTTTCAGGTAGACAGGCCTGAAAAACACCATGGATAATAGACCCAAATAATTGCCCCCTGTAAGATTCTATATTACAGGGCAACTTCTCATTTCCTAAGGTGCATTAGGGTCTTTGCTTCCATGGTGACAAGAGTTGATTGCATAAGCCATATAAAATATTGAATATGCTTAGAGGTAAGTTGAACACATAAAATTCGGAAAACTTAAAACTGACATTTTAAGTTATAAGGTAGTAAAAGGTAGATGCCTTTTACATCCCAAGCTGTCAGGTAATCCAACTGGTGATACTATACTAAACAACTTATTTATCTGTAATACTGATCAAATTATGGCTTTAAAAAGTAAGACATTATTAAATGAAATTACTTTGGGAGAAATTGTCAATTACATATGGTTTATTTAGTCTCCTAATTCCTTAGTCCAGTGAGTTTTACTCAGTCTTAGCTAGATTTTAACTATGTTGGTAGTTTGAATGAACATTTTTGAGTCACTGTTTTAAAGCAATATAGCCCATTGATTCTATTCTACTTTTTATACAAATTATATTTCTTGAAAACTTAATAGGAGTTTTGGTCTTCTTTACATTCTTTAGGATGCACAGACAATTAGAACATTAACTCTCATCTCAAAAACCATTCAAACTTTGGGAAGCTGGGGAAGTCTATCCAAAAGCAAGGTAAGTCTTTATATCTTTTATTTTATTGTCACACTTCTAAATGTTGTTATATCCTCTGATCCTTTCTTCTTCACTTACCTTCTTCCAAATTAAAAACAAAACAATACTGAACAATACATATATACAGACACAATAGCTGCCTTTTAGGTAGATATGGCATCCTAGTCACCTATTAAAGAGGACAGTTTCTTTTTTTTTTTTATTTCAGCACATTATGGGGGTACAAATGTTAAGGTTACATATATTGCCCATGCCCCTCCCTACCTGCCTGACACCTGATAAATGTCATTCCTGTATGTCCACTTAAGTGTTGATCCATTAATACCAATTTGCTGGTGAGTACATGTGGTGCTTGTTTTTCCATTCTTGAGATACATCACTTAGTAGAATGGGTTCCAGCTCTATCCAGGAAAATACAAGAGATGCTATATCACCATTGTTTCTTAAAGCGGAATAGTACTCCATGGTATACATATACCACATTTTATTAATCCACTTATGTATTGATGGGCACCTAGGTTGTTTCCACACCTTTGCAATTGTGAACTGTGCTGCTATAAACATTCAAGTACAGGTGTCCCATTTGTAGAGTGTCATTTGATCTTTTGGGTAGATGTCCAGTAGTGGAATTGCTGGATCAAATGGTAGATCGACTTGTATCGCTTTAAGGTGTCTCCATATTGCCTCCACAGAGGCTAAACAAGTTTCCACTCCCACCAGCAGTATAGGAGTGTTCCTATCTCACCGCATCCATGCCAACATTTATTATTTGGGGACTTTTTGGTCAAGGCCATTCTTACTGGAGATAAGTGATATCTCGTTGCAGTTTTGATTTGCATTTCCCTGATGATTAGAGATGTTGACCATTTTTCATATGTTTGTTGACCTTTATTCTGTCTTCTTTTGAAAATTTTCTGTTCATGTCCTTTGCCCACTTTTTGATAGGGTTGTTTGATTTTTTCTTGCTGATTTTCTTGAGTTCTAAATAGATTCTAGTTATCAGCCCTTTATCGGATATGTAGCTTGCGAAAATTTTCTCCCATTCTGTGGGTTGTCTGTTTGCTCTCTTGACAGTTTCTTTGGCTATGCAGAAGCTTTTTAATTTGATCAGGTCCCATATATTTATTTTTATTGCTGCTGTGATTGCCTTAGGGGTCTTCTTCATAAATTCTTTGCCTAGGCCAATGTCTAGAAGAGTATTTCCAAAGTTTTCCTCTAGGATTCGAATAGTTTCACACTTAATGTTCAAGCCTGTTACCTAGCGTGAGTTGATTTTTGTGAGAGGTGAAAGGTGTGGGTCCTGTTTCAGTCTTCTGCATGTGGCTATCCAATTTTCCCATTTATTGAATGAGGATTTTTTTTTCCCCAGTGTATGTTTTTGTCTGCTTTTTTGAAGATTAGTTGGCTATATGAGGATGGTTTTATATTTGGGTTCTCTGTTCTGTTCCATTGGTCAGTGTCCCTGTTCTTGTGCCAATACCAAGCTGTTTTAATTACTATAGCCATGTAGTATAGTTTGAAATCTGGTAAATTGATACCTCCTTAAAGAGGACAGTTTCATTTAAACTGATGAACCTAAGAGGGGAAGCCACTCTGTTAAGAAGATGAAGGAGTGATCTATGTATTGGTTTGTCTATGCCATAATCATCTAACAGCTTTGAAAGAAGTCTTCAGAAGCTCTAAGCCCTATAACTCACTGGAAATATTGAATCCTTTTAGGCCTTAATCCTCAGCTTAAAAATATAGTTCCTTATATTCTTACTTCTGGATTTAACACATATAAATGCTGTGTTTGTTTTTTCTTAGTCAAGTTTCAAAGAGACATTCATGTGTGAATTTTTCAAGATGTTTCAAGAAGAAGGATATATTATAGCAGTTAAAAAGGTATGATTGTTTTATTCTGGAAATGTTAACATTTCTTGTCATATAGCAGGGTAGAAATAACATTTCATATTATTCCTAGGAGTCCCCAGTTTAAAAAAACAATAATGTTTAAACTGTCCATCAAAAAGACTCCTTTTTTCTTCCTTTTTCCTCTTATACAGGCTATGTTTTTCAGCTGAAAAAAACTAAACAAGTTTTAGCAACAGCTATTTTTTCCAGTATATTTGTAACACCATTACAAATGTCTACGATTAGGATTTCTCAGAGCGTCACTATTGACATCTTGGGCCAGATAATTCTTGATTGTGAGGGGCTGGCCTGTGCATTGTAGGACATTTAGCACCATCCCTGGCTTCTACCGATTAAATGCCAGTAGTGTTTGACAGCCAAAATGCCTCCAGATATTGCCAATGCCCTCTGAGGGACAAAATTGCCTCTGGTTGAGAACTCCTGGTCTAGGGGTAAAGGCTTAATATTGTGCCTGATGTGTAGTGGTCACTAGCTATATAAATTTATGGTAGTAACCTGAGGAAAATTACTATAAATTAAAATGTACAAAAGCCTACAGTATATAATATCCTAACCTTGGATCTACAACATATAAAAATTACTGTACTTAAAAGTTGAAAATGTTTTGAAAGGATCTTTAATTTCTGAAGTCTATAGTCCTGAATCATTTAAACAAAATGTAACATTATTATAAAACCCTGAAAAGTTGTTTTGAAGTACATCTAAACTAGGCTTGAAGAAAGTACTATTTATATGTGGACTTTTAAAAAATTACTTTTATAGGGACTTAGTAAATGAAAGTGATTTAAAAAGTTAATGTCCATTGGAATTTTTTCATCTAGAATATTGCACTTTCAACCAAATTTTTAAGGCAACCATTGAAGGCTTTTGAGGAGAAAGTCTTTCAAAAGAATAGGCAAAGAAAAAGTTGTCCTTTAATCTTTAGGACATTATTGAGCCATTTCTGGGACAGTGTAGGCAGACTTTTGTTGGCAAGATAATGATGTGCTGTCTTTTGTTTGGGATTGTTTTTCCATGTTTTATGACCTAGGCTATTGTAACATCTGACTTTTTTTTCCTTATAGAATGTATAGAGTTGATAATATCAGCAGAGAAAGGATTTAAGGGTGCCAGGAGTTTAGTCTGTTCCTGATCCACCCTGAGTCACCCACTCGCATTCTAATGGACTGTTACCAGAATATGCCTCCTGTCTCAGATTTGGTTCTAGACTCCTAAACTGGCATAGAATATTTTGGCCTAATATCCTAGTTTTACTTATTATTTATGAGTTAAGTCTGGATATGTGTAGTGCTAGAAATGATAAAAGCTTACGAAGCCAAATTTCTCATTTCATATTGACACTTTCACTAGTGACGTTGACCATCACTCTTGAAGAAAATACTTTATAACTCCGAATTGTATACTATTCCCTATAGAGTTTAAGAAGGATAACCTGAATAGCTCTATAAAAAGGGTGACCCTATATTTTGGTGTCAAAACTAGGACACTTTGACTATTAATGATTATTTTGGGATAATAGGAATGGTCTTGTCAGGGATGGTTGTGAGCAAACTGGGACCTTTAGTCCCTCTGTTTTAGTCCATCTCAGTTAATGTGTTTTCTTTTAGTTTATATGTCTGTATTTAGCCCATAGTTCCTTAAAATTATAAATAAATTTATAAATATTTGTAAATCAGTCAATGGCATCAGGTAAATACTAAGAAATGAAATATTCAAATAACTCTGATACTTTCCATTAGTGGATGGTCCATTTGTGAGAATTGAAGATGTGATAGGACACTTACTTAGTTCCTTTAGCTTAGATACTTGTACTTGCATCATCCACATATAATGCAAAAGGAACCTTGTTCTTGTTTTTTCACTTACCAAGATTTCCTTCCAGCAAACTAGAAGTAAACATTCCATTTGAAAACCCCATAAGTATAGGCTCTGGTGGGCAACCTATAGCCAGTCTAGGAAAATTGTTCCTACAAATTCTACTTTACATCTGGCACTGGAGCCTCAATATCATCCCTACTGGAATGTGCTTTATTTTTAAGTCCTAAGCAGAACAACATAGAAAAGTATAAAGGAAAAACCAAGGAAATCAGACCTTCTCTGAGTTTGTAATATCCAAATAATGAACTAAACAAATGGATAGTTCATTAGGGGGCAAAATAGGATTCTTCTCTAAGAACAAAAATTATTCCTTGAACTGCTGATTTCCCTTTCCCATGAAGAAATAGCTACATGCTAGGAAGCCATGGACCAGTCACGGCAGCTTTTTATTTATTTATTTTTTGGGGGGGGTAGAGACTAGGTCTTGCTATGTTGCCCAGACTGGTCTTCAACTCCTGGTCTCAAATGATCATCTCACCTCAGCTTCCCAAAGTACTGGAATTATAGGCTGAGCTACCACACCCACCAAGGTAGCATATTTATGAAGTGAAATGCCCTTCCCTGGGTGAGTTGCCACTGCTAAAGATGGATACTGCCAATTTTATTGAGCTACCACATTCTCATATTCTCCATAGGAAGTTTATAAATGGTAATTTGATTTCCAGGTTATTAACCCACTCACATTTCATTTATAACTGTGAAAGACCATCTTTCAGGGTTAAAATCAGTTATGTGTAGTAGAAGTTAACAAACTCTTTTCTGTAAAGGGCCAGTGAGAAAATATTTTAGGCTTTGCTAGTCACATAAGGTCTCTGCCACATATTCTTCTTTGTTTTTGTAACGCTTTAAAAATATGACAACTACAAGTTGAATATCCCTTATCCAAAATTCTTGGAACCAGAAGCGTTTTAGATTTCAGGTTTTTTCAGATTTTGGAATATTTTCATTATATATGTTTCTACTAGTTGAACATCCCTGATGTGAAAATCCAAAATTTGAAACACTCCCGTGAGCGTTTCCTTTGAATGTTAAATTGGCACTCAAAAAGTTTTCGATTTTGGAGCATTTGAGATTTTCAGATTTAGGATGCTGAACCTGTATTCTTACGAAAACAGGCTGCAAGTCATATTTGGTCCACTGGACCATAGTTTGGAGATCCTTGACCTACAGTAAAGGTTCATAATCCTCTGTGTAAGATCTTAGAGACCAGAAGTATTTCAGAATTCAGTTTTTCAGAGTCTCAAAAGGTAATCAGTATATACTATATGTAACAGCTCCAGTGGAGCCTAGGGTAGCACCCCATAATCAAATACATTAATTTTTATGTAGCATAGTATTAATATGTGAATACTCACACTAAGTAAGATAAATTCAGATTATAAATAGCCTTACACCAGTTCAGGTTAAGTTATATCCCCAAATGAGTTTACTATGAATCAAAGATAAAAACAAACAAACAAACAAACTCTATTTTCAAAGCTTTATGTATTTCACAATTACAGTTAAGGAATTTTGGGTTGATTTATTTCTACAGGGAAATATATTTTGGGTTTTAAATAACTTAAGAATAAACTTTTTAAACTACCTGTCATTTGTAAATTGGGGACTTCTACAATCAAATAGTGCTTTGTTTTATAAATTACTATTATGTCTGTTTTTTAATATTGAATAACTTCACAATATAATCAATGACATGTAAGATAAACTGAATTGTTTATAATATACCTTATTGCACAGTGTAATATTTGCCCATTTTCCCATTTAGTTCTTGGATGAAATTTCATCTACTGAAACTAAAGAGACCAGTGGTACAAGTGAGCCTGTGCACCTGAAAGAAGGGTAATTTAATGAAATTAGAAATGAAAATCATGTTTCAGTATAGACATTAAGTACAAAAAACATGAGTCTGAGAGTGAAAGGATCTGGGTTTGTGTTCTGTGTTAGAACTGCCTAAGACATCAGTCAGGTCAGCCACCCTCACTATTCTACCAACTTTATGTCAAAAAGGCATGACTCCCTGGCCATACGGATCCAGAGTTTTAAAAGTTTTGCAATTATAGTAAGATTGTAGGTATTAGAGTGCTTTGAAAAAGTAATAGCACTATTCAGTCTTAAAGTAGAGTGGATATTATTGGAAGTTAAGAAAGGGAATCACTCATTTGGCCCTTTTCTGTATAGCACAAATAAGAATATTAAATTAAAACTTTATTCCCTTAGTATGGTCAGAATAAATACAAGAGTCATAGATGTCAAAGGTATTTTCATATATTTAATTAATCTTACACAGCTATTAATGTCATTTAAAGTCAAAGGGCAATTCTTTGTTTTGGATTAACTATGTTAATTTTTGTAGCTAAATGTTTATATCTATTACTTTGACAGTGAGATGTATAAAAGAGCTCAGGGAAGAACTCGGATTGGAAAAAAGAATTTCAAGAAACGATGGTTCTGCTTAACAAGCAGAGAGCTCACCTACCACAAACAGCCAGGTAGTTGTGTTTATGCTTTATTGTGGGGTTTTTCTTAGTTATTGTGAAGATTTTGATTTGATTTTTTTTTTTTTTTTTTGCTGCTTAACGTAACTCCAGTGAATCCTTTCACTAATGTTACTATAGTTTATAGTTTCTCACAATGATATGTACACACTAAAAATGAAATAAATATATGACTAGCGACACCATGTAATAACATTTTTCTCACATTTCTTGTCTTGCTAAAAATGATGTTCCTTCAGTGTGCTCTGTTTTCTAAAAATCCCTGGTAAATCCTTGCTATTTTACAATCGGTGTATAAGGAGTAACAGTTAAACTTCTTAGGACTTGGAAGTTTCTTTAACTCTCAGAGCCAAATTATTAAGATTCAATACCTAATTGGTTTGCTGGAAAATATTAGCCAAAAATTCCCACAGTCGTATCATAGATTGTGATCCCTATATAATTATCAGATTCATTCTAGGCTGTTGGCCAAGCTAACCCCCTGAGATGGAAGGTTTAATAATTTGCCTCCTGAGAAAACAGTTGCCTTCACAAATGGGCTATTAGGTTATTAAGTATGAAATGTCCGATTTCTTTAAGTACTAAGTTTGACAGTTGGTATCTCTGACGTTTCACTTTGACACTTGTTTTATTTTTATTGTGAAGGTACATCTTCATTCTTTCAAACATATGGTTTGGCTTGTGATGATCTTTCAGATTTTTTTAGAGCAATTTTTGTGAAACCATGGATAAGTCAAAAATTCCTATTATTTTCGAATGTGAGTTCTGTCATGGGACCAGTATAGTGCATATAGCTCAGTGTCATAAAGTATTTGGGAAGGATGTGGCTAATGAACACACAGTAGATGGATGGTTTGAGAAGTTCCATCAGACATAGGGTACTTTCAGCAGAATCTAGACACATGTTAAGTAGAGTGCTTCAGTAGAGATTCTTGAATAGTAGAGTGATAAGAAAAATTTTTATTTAAATCTTCCTTAAGAAGGGCTTAGCCAGAATGACTACGTATGTCCAAATATATTAGTAAGATATAAGAAACGAAATGCATTTTATTTTTAGGCACACAGATAAGTTGGTATAGCATATGCATATTCAAATAACTAAAGATCAATAGGCTATGTACTTGCCCTTCCATACAGGATTTTTTTAAGCTAAGCATATTTTGAATGTTTTAGAAATTATACCTTATATTGACTACTATATAAATAGTCTCACTGAGGCATAGCATAGGTGCTAATTATTTTATATTAACAGTATATTTAAATTAAATTTAAGATAAGTTAGTCATTCTCTATAAATGAGTTATTTTTCCTCATTTAAAGCATTTTTAATCTAAACCAATATTCTAAAGTCTTTTTTGATTTATAATCTTCTTTAAGAATTGTCCCATATGGTCTAGCGGTTAAAAAAAAAAAAAAAAAAAAAAAAAAAAAAGAATTAGATAGCTGTGGGCCCCATCCTTCTGGAAAACTGCATATACACATGAGGATTTCATAGACCTGAAGTCCATCCACAGTTCTCAAGTTAAGAACCTCTGTTCTATCCAGTGATTTTAAGAGGATAAAATTCTGTAGAATGATTAAGCTACTTTAAGTATAAAATAGACACATTAGAAGCTACATTGTTTTCAGGCCTTAACAAATTTAAGATGTTGGAATGACAATGGAGAAATGAGACATGAAGTTTTGAAATTATTTACCAAAGCCTACAGTTTTAAGCATCCATGTTTTTTGTTTTAACTATTTTGATGGATTTTTCCAAAATGTATTACATGCTTCCCTGCCTTCTAAAAAAAGAGTTCATTGAACGTAAGTTACATTTTCTAGATGACTTGGGGGGCTGTCATTGATAATATTAATTATTATATGGGACTCTGATTTAGTGATGTTTTCAGGGCTGCTTAAAGGTGTGTGCAGATGTTTACTCTAGCTAAATGCCTTTACTCCCCAGCTAAATGCCTTGAACTGCTATGCTTTTGTGTTCCTGTGTTTGCTTTATATAGTTTTTCTCTCTAAGTAAAGCTGTCCACCTTAAATTTCTTGTAATAACAGTGAACCATAATATACCGTCTTACTCCCATCCCTATCATCCACCTCCATTTTTTACTACTAATGTCCTGAGTGAGGATGCAGGTACTGTGTTTGTTAAAATTATACATAAGAATAAAAGGCTTCGAGTGAGGATGTTGGGACTTTGGCTTGTGAATAAAGTACCTGGGCTTGGCATTCTTTGGTTGTTCAGCAAATGTTTTTGCTTACTTCCTGTTTCCTTCTTGTTTCCTAGATATCCAAGACCGCTAGTTAGTAGTCTCTTGGAAGCTACACTTACTATATGACTTGGGTATCTGAAAGAATACCTCTCAAATTTTCTATAACATGGCTCTAAATCATTGAGTCTTTCATTCTGTTTTCCTGCTACACAATGGTATTCTGAATCAAATATTTCTACCACTCAGAATCAAATAATATGGCCATTTCCCAATTTCCGGGAAAAGGAATTAATAGAATTTTCTCCGTTTTAAGGATTTTTCTCCAATAAGTATAAAGTTTTGATGCCCACTTAGGTCATTGCTAACAAGCAATAATAAACAACTTAAGTATACATTTTAACATGTAGCAGGTGAATATCTGATACTCAATTAGCTATTAGTCCTGATTACCTTGGCAGTTTTTTTATGGGCCTCAGTGCTTACACTTACAGTTTTATAATACTGTACTGTAAGGTATTCATCTTCTATAAGTAAATGTTTTCCTAGTTATAAGTTATATGCTGCAAGTAAACAAGTTATTAATGTTCCAGCCTCTTCATCTCTTATCCAGCCTCATTTTTTATAGTCTCCATATGTAGCTTCACAAGGTAGTTCTTGGAGTTCCTTTAACTTGTACTCTTTAATAGTCATGCTTTTGCATTTGCTCTACTTAGAAATTCCTTTCTTTTCTTCTTTACCTGTATAATCTTGTCTTTCAGGCCCCAGATTGTCAGCTTTTTATGGAAGTTATTTTAAACCTCTGGCCACCTATTCCCTCACTTTGTTTCTTTAGCCACCTTAGCAATAACATCTGGTACACCGTGTGATCATTACTTTTGTCGATCTCTTTCCCTAGTTTTTAAGATCCTTGGTGGTAAGGATCATATTACTACTAGTGGCATAAAAGCATTTAGTAAGTATACGTCAAAGAACACCATGTATTCCACATGTGCTATCACCTGAATTACTTGTATAACCCACTGCTCTAGATTTCTAAAATTTATACCAAGCATACTAATAGATTATTAACAAATTCATCTTTGAAATTTTATTCTTATAGAAAAAGTAGCTCTTGTCTACTTTTGGGAGACCTGTTTTACAGACAGATATATATACACAACTTCCATGTAATATCAAATGTCCTAACTCATACAGCTTATAGGCAATGTAAAAGAAACTTCCATGATGTTTTAAACATAGATGCTCAATATATTGAAGTTGACTTGGTTTTCACCTGCTGATATTTTCACACATATGCTCTACAATATTTTTTTCTTTGGTAGCTAAAGAACTAAAATAAATCATTGATTCAATCATGCACTCAACAGGTGCTTTATTGGTGCCTTCTATATGCTAGACACTGTTCTAGGCTCTAGAGAGAACAATAGTGAACAAAACATAGCAAAATCCCTGCGTTTGTGGATCATATAGGTTAGTACTGATAGACAATAAACAACAACAAAAAAAGAAAATTATATGTACATTGTACATCTCATGAATGAGATGAGCAAAAAAGAATTAGGGACAGGGAATAGAAAATGATAGATTCAGTGAAAGAAGTTAAAATATTAAAAGGTCTAGCCAGAGAAGGCTTCACTGAGAAAGTAACATTTCAGCAAAGATCTAAAGATGGTGAGGGGCCTGGCGTGGTGGCTCACGCCTGTAATCCTAGCTCTCTGGGAAGCCAAGGTGGGCAGATTGCTTGAGGTCAGGAGTTCGAAACCAGCCTGAGCAAGAGCGAGACTCCGTCTCTACTAAAAATAGAAAAAATCAGCTGGGCAACTAAAAATAGAAAAAAAAATTAGCCAGGCACGGTGGTGTGCACCTGTAGTCCCAGCTACTTGGGAGGCTGAGGCAGGAGGATTGCTTGAGCCTAGGAGTTGGAGGTTGCTGTGAACTAGGCTGACACCACAGTACTCTTGCCTGGGCAACAGAGCAAGACTCTGTCTCAAAAAAAAAAAAAAATAGGCGCATGGGCTGGACATGGTGACTCACACCTGTAATCCTAGCACTTTGGGAGGCCAAGGCAGGAGGATCACTTGATCCCAGACCAGCTGAGCAGCATAGCAAGACAGGGGTCTCGCTCTTGCTCAGGCTAGTCTCAATTCCTGGCGTCAAGCATGGTAGTGTGTGCCTGTAGCCCCAGCTACATGGGAGACTGAGATAAAAGGATCACTTGAACCCAGGAGTTTGAGGTTGCTGTGAGCTATAATGAGGGCACTGCACTCTAACCTGGGCTACAGAGTGAGACCCTGTCTCAAAAAAAAAAAGGCACCTGAAGAGTTCTAGTAATGATAGAACTTGTGGCTTGTATTAGATGACTCCTCATAAGCAACAATTATAAACTTTGGGTAAAATATGTAAAATAATTCTCTGAAGAATTTGACCTTTGAAAGAAAGGAATCATGCTGGCTAAGGTTTATATTTATACAGCTTTTCCCCCTGAAAGTACTCCTAGCCTATACAGGTTGAGGTGGCTAAAATTCAAGCAGAAAGCTGCAATTTTATTGACTTGAGATGTCAAAGGATAGAGTTCAGGGCTCGCAGAGAGACTAGGAATTGAGGAGAAAAAAAGGAAGAGTCCTTAAGTTTGCATGTGAAGTCTCCTGAAATCCGTAGCTGACTCTTAAATTGCTTATGTAAGGAGGAGCTCCAGAGAGGCTAGTGAAAAACAATAACTGAAAGATTAAAAAAGAAGAGTGAGAGATTTCAGCTTCTGTCATCCTCAGGGGAGACAGAGGTGGCTCAGGAGTAAAGATTATGTTCTAGGATTAAGAATAAACAAAGTAGGCAATGACTCACGCCTATAATCCTACCACTCTGGGAGGCTGAGGCGGGAGGATTGCTTGAGCTTAGGAGTTTGAGACCAGTCTGAGCAAGAGTGAGACCCTATCTCTACTAAAAATAGAAAAAACTAGCTGAGAGTTGTGGTGTGTACCTACAGTCCTGGATATTCAGGAGGCTGAGGCAAGAGGATCGTTTGAGTCCAGGAGTTTGAGGTTGCAGTGAGCTATGATGACACCACTGCATTCTACCCAGGGCGATAAAGTGAAACTCTGTCTCAAAAAAAAAAAATATATATATATATGTAGTAGGAGCAATGTATAAAGCAAACCCTCGGGTGATCAGTTAATGATGTAACTGTTCAAGGGAAAGTAACTGAACTTACAGTGTCTACAATGTTTCATCCATAATGTCCAGTATAGAATGAAACATTAACATCTTGAGAAGAAACAGGGAATTATGGTACATAATCCAGAGAAAAAGCAGTTAGTAGAAATAGACCCCTAGATGATCTATATGTTGGAATTAGCAGACATGAACTTTAAAGCCACTGTTATAAATATTTCAAGGACTTAGTGGAAAAGGTAGTCATGATGAGTAAAGAAATGAGGGATCTTGGCAAAAAAGAAACTATAAAAAGGAATCAAATGGAAATTCTAGAATTGAAAATTACAATACCTGAAATGAAAACTTCACTGAATTGGCTTAATCAGAGATGTCAGAAGAAAGGTTCAGTGAACTTGAAGGTAGATCAATAGAAATTAACCAATCTAGAAACATGGAAAAGATTGGGGAAAAAAATTAACAAAACTTCAGTGACTTATGAAATAATATCAGGTAGTCTAATATATACATGGTGGGTATCCCAGAAGGATAGTAGAAAAAGAATGGGATAGAAAAAAATATTTGAAGAAATAGTGGCCTAAAATTTCCTAAACTTGGTGAAAAAACAATATTACGCACCCAAGGAGCTCAGTGAACTGCAAGCATGATAAATACAAAGGAAGCCACACTTACACATGTAATAAACCAGAGATAGGAGAAAATCTTGCAGAGAAACAAGACAAGTTACATACAAGGGAACAACAGTACAATTGACAGCCAATATCTCCTAAGAAGCAACCAAAACCGAAGGACAAATGGAATGACTTCTTTAGAATACTGAAGTACAAAAGTTCTCAACCTAGAATTCTAGCGAAAATTTTCTTCAAAAATGAAAATATCTGTTAGATAAATGAAAGCTGAGAGACTCCATTGCAAGTAGGCCTGCACTATAGGAAATGCTAAAGGAAATTTTTCAGGCTGAAAGGAAACAGTACCAAGTAGAAACTTAAATCTTCTGGAAGGAATGAAGAGTATTGGAAGTGGTAAATATGTGGGTAAATGTAAGAATGTCTTTTTTTCCCTGAATTTCTTTAAAAAGCAACTATTTAATTTAAAATTTATAACATTGAATTTGTCAGGTTTATAATATATCTGGATGTAAAATATATAACAATAGTAACACAAAGGAAGGGAATGACATAAATTATTACAAGGGTCTTATATTTTATGTGAAATGATACAAGAATAATTTTAAACTGACTATGGTAAATTAGGCTGTATTATTGTAATATCTAGAATAAAAAGTTAGAAAAAACTAGGTATAACTAATCCATCCCCTCTCTCCAACCCCAAAAATAAATAAATAAAAATGGCAGGAAAGAAAAAACAAATAGCAAAATGATATCTTATGCCCAACTATATCAATAATCACAATAAATGTAAATGAACTAC